GGGGTCACAACAACCCCCACTTTGAGAGCCCCTGTTCTACACAGACCAGTGGTAACATGATCAACACCCATTCACGATGCTAGGATGGCCCTGCAAATGTCCCTCTTTTCAGCAAACCGTACGAACCTGATCAATCTAGCTGTACCACACAATTTTACCTCAGCGCCTCTTGCTCAGTAATACACCTTCTGGGGCTAGCTTTAAAAAACTAAACCATTCACAAAATGAAGTTCTCAAGTCTCCCTCAAGTCCTTTCTCCTAATCTCTCCCATTGGAGGTCTCCCAGGCTTTCCTTGTCTGAAGTCAAGAGTTCCCTGCTGTGCCTACTCACTCCCAGTGCTCACTTTAGTCTCCTTCAATCCCTCCTGATGCCTCAAGGTTCCCTGCTGGATTCTGTCACATCAGCTTCACACTAGTTGTCTCTCTCTAACCTTTGCAGCTCCCCGTTGCTCTTTATATGCAAAGCACCTCATGCATACCCATTTCCACTAATTAAACTCCACACCCCACTATACCAGATAAAAGGGTAGGAGGGAAAATGGAGGCATAGAGAGGTGAAGAGACTAATACTAAGTTACACAGCATGTCAGAGGCAAACTGAAACACAGAAGACAAACAACAAGGGTATGCTCAAGACCATCAAGGGCCTCATTCAGAGCCAACAAGTGTCAGGAAGCCAGGTATGGGCAGTCATGCATCGCAGTCAGAGCAGGAGTAAGGTGCCAGAAACAAAACAGAGGGTCATAATGAGTCAGGGGACACAAGGAGTGTTGCTAATTGGATCTTTTCTGGGCAGCACTTCCTGTGGTGACTCATCTCCCAACGTTTACAGACAACTGATTGCAGACCACTGGCTGGAAGCGTGGAAACAAGTGTCACCCACAGCCCTGCAGACACACATTTTAGCTATCAGATCCTTAGTCTTTCTGTTGCCTTTAGATTAGGCCCTGAACCTATGGCAGAATTGTCAGGGTTGAAATATTAACTAAAGCAGACCACAGAACCAACAAGTTGTGACTCTACAGGAATTGTGTTAGGGGCAGGAGTGGGCAAATACTGGCCCGCAGACTGTATCTGGTCCACCAAGGTTAGCTTCTGGCAGGCCCCCACCACTCTATTTACCTGCACAGGCATAGGCATCTGCGATCACAGCTCCTGTTGTCCACAGATCACCATTGCCAGCCAATGGCAGCAGCAGGAAGTGGTATCCCGGTCTGTACTGCTTCCCGACACTCCCATTGGCCAAGAGCAGTGATCCACAGCCAATGGGAACTGTGATCACTGGTAACTGCAGCTGTGCGGGTAATTATAGCAGCAGTAGCCTACCAGGGGCTAACCCTTGCCAACCGCCACAGTGCTATTGTCTTAGAGTCTGAACCTCTCAAATGACACTAGTATTCTGCCTGGAAACATACAACTTTTTAAAATCATGCAAATGCCTTCGCTGGTCATTTTTCTCCTTACCACTTCCTTTTCCATGTTTAAAAATGCTGTTACAAAAATCTGGCTATATGAGATTGACAGAACTAGCTATACTACACAATTTTGCCTCAGAGCCTCAATTTACTGTTATTATTTGATCAACATGGCACCTAATTATTAGTATAATGTAATGCTCTTTAATTAAGCAGGAGGTGATCTATCCCAGCTTGATGTCACTGGCAAGCATAAAGAAGCTTGTCACATGATCCATCTCAGCTATAAATGTGGCACAAGCATATTTTTTTCCAAATGAGAGAGAACACAGAAATCATAAAGAACTTATAGAAAGATTAGTACTTTGGGTTACATCCAGGCTTCCCTAATTGTATTTAATTAGAAGTACAACAGTGAACATATGCGTGCTGTTCATTAGGTTCATAAAAACCTCGAGTGCTATTAAATACTTACTACTGGAAAAAGAGAAGGCTCAGGGGATTGATAATGAGAGATGTTGTCTTCCACCTTTGGATGCTGGTTCAAAACCAGCCCAAGATGGACTAAATAACTAAAAACCATTAACTGATAATTCTTTAGTGACTCACGTGGAATGAGTTGATGGTCTCAATTGTGAAATGACAGTCAAATGACCACATTATAAACCACCATAAAAATCTGCATTTGTTAGACGTGTGACGTATGCAGAGTTGTAGTCATGTCAATCCCAGGATATTAATGAGGTGGGTGAGGTAATATCATTTATTGGACCAACTGCATCCAACTGTCTAAGCTCGAAAGCTTTGTCTCTCTCACCAACAGATGTTAACTCTGCTCCATACAGCTCTAACTTCGAACAGCAGTACAGGTTGGTTTAAATACCTATACCTTGCATACTCCTTTACATCAGTAAGGCTCAAAGTGCTTTGCAAAGGAATATTGATGTATCAATATTGCCAACTGAAGCACAAAGAGGTGAAATGATTTGCCTGAGGTAACCTGGTAGGCTAATGGCACAGCAAGGGCAAGCAAGCCTTGAGTCCCAAATGGCATAGTGAGAATGCAAGCCTTGAGTCTCAAACCAGAGCGCTATGTGTTCTATCCACTAGGCAACACCACAACCTGTGTCTATATAACTCTTTAGTCTTAGATACATGAAGAACTGAATGAGTCTGGAAACAGATCCAATTTCTCATTCCCGAACGAGATTCTTCTCTAGTTCAGGATTGAAACAGCAGCAGTATTTGTGAGCTTGCCTGGTAGCTGTTCATTGCCTTATTTCTGAGCTTAGAAACCTTCCATCTCCAGGATGGTTAACTGATTTTTTTCTTTTCATAAGCATTAAGTTCACACACACACACACAAAATAAAGAATAAATTTACTAAGTGGCCAGATACATTTCCTAATTACTTTGCCCTTCTGTTTGAGTACCAAGTAGTGTTGTCTCAATACCAACTGTAGTTGAGAATTGCCCTGGGTACAAGGTTCCAAAATAACTAGCACTTTGTGCGGTTTTGCATCCTGTTGAAAAGCAACCAAAAAAAATTAATCCAGGCTGAACTCTTACAACGCATATGTATTCATTTAAAAATAGAGACTCAAATGACTTGTAAAATCATGCAGCCAATGACTAGTATTAACGGTCTCTGTACTTTAACTGCCAATCCTGGTTTTATTCTGTGACATCCCATATGATTTATATGTTTGGTTCACTAATCTATTGCTTCATCTTTTTATTGGAGCACTTTAAGCTAATTATCCACCTCTAGCTTTACCTTCCACATCAATAGAGACCAGCTGAAGAGACTTTGCTAACAGCCTCTTGAACTGACATGGGAACTGAAAGTAGGGCATTCTCAATGGAGCGACTCTGACTCCATAATTAATTTCCCCTCATTTTTTGAGGAATTTGAGGCTGTTTATTTACTCAGGCTTTTGCTTAAGGAGGTGACTGGAACTGGGTGAAATGAGAGTTTTTGGTTGTGGTTTGTTTTTGTTTTTCTTTGCCAAGCTCTTTGGGACCCTAAGTCAATACTGCGTCGTGATTCTAGATCTGTTTTAATATAAGTGACTAGAGGATTTACCTGGAATTGCTTGGGTCCTTAACCCAATTTATGTTTTTTGGAAACTGAAATGAAAATGTGCATGCTGCATTTAAATTGTTGCTCTGGGGTGGGGCTAGGGATGAAGGGCTCAGAATGCAGACTGCTCCATGGAGAGAGGACTACCCCAGCACTTTGGGGCCAGGTGAGAAGTGTCTTTCCATGGTCCCTGCATCTCCAGCAGGCACAGTCGGGGAGGGGGTTCATGTCCCCCAGCTGTGAAAGGTCCAGGTTTGTTTGTCCCTGTACTCCCCAGCCAGAGTGTGGAATGCAGCAAACTGTGCACTTTCCTCTCACTCCCTGAGAAAGGCAAACAGCCAGCAATGTATCTGTATGAATCAGGGGGGAAAGAGGGTTCCTCTCAATAGGGTGCACCTTGGGGGTGCAGGCTGTTTTTACCTGCTTGGTGATTTTGTCTCTTTTCTGTATGATTTTATGAAAAGCAATCTCATTCTAGGCACATCCCATTTTCCCAGCACAAGCAAACTCTTATCTTGTTTCAAGAGGAAATTGTATACTGAATTTGGCGGTTGTAGCTCTTATCATCTCAGAGGAGTTCTTAGACACTCAGATACACTCTCTCAAGTATATAGCACACTCACATACCTGCACTTAGAGCCACATACCTGCACCTAGAGCAGAGATAGGCAACAGTTTTTCATGGGGGGGGCCACTTCAAGAATGTGGTAAATGGTATGGGCCAAACTTTTCTATGAGATTAACAGAGGGGATGCAGTGTCTGAGATAAAGCTAAGGGAGCTCTGGGTAGGGGATTAGTTTGCAGGAGGAGGTGTGGGTTCTGGGAGGGCATTTGGGTTGACAGGGATTCCAATGTGCAGGAGGAGTATAGGAGGGGGGCTGTGCTAGAGAAGGAGTTTGAATGTGGGATGGGGTTGTGACCTGGGGCAGGGGTTGGACTGTGTAAGGAAGAGCCAGATGCAGGCTCTTGCCAGGAGGTGCTTACTATAGGCACCCAGCCAGCAGCCCAGCAGGAACCTTAGGCAGGATCACTGAATGCCACAGCCCCACACAACACTCAAAGCAGATGGCTGCTGGAGACAGTATGTGTGTCTTTGCGCGGCACGCTCCTTGTGAGTAGGGAGTTAGAAGCACTTGCAAGCACTGCCTTTGCAGCTCCCATTGGTTGGAAGGCTGCAAGAATGGTGCTGGGGACAGGGCAAGGCGCAGCTACCACCCCACAAGGGCCATGCCATACAGATACATGCATGCTGTCCCCAGCAGCCAGCTACTTGGAGCAGGGTATGGGGCTGTGGCAGCCAGGGAGCCTGCCTGAGGGTGCCACTGGACTTCAGCAGGCTGGATCCAAATGGCTGCATTTTGCCCATCCCAACCTACAGTTTCAGTAGATACATCATATACATTGATAAACATATGAAAAGCTGCCCTAGGAATTAAAAACACATCTTTGGATAACACAAAACAGAGAAAGGAATTTATAAATCAAACTGCAACGGTTTTTGTAAAGACATTAACAGCTTTTATTTCACTGGTGCAAGGGAGCTTTTCATCCACCACTCGTCAACAGAAAACAAAATGTCCTTGTCTATAAAATAGCTTCTAGAAAGTTCAAACATGACAAAAATATATAGCCTGTAATAAATCTCAACAATACATTAAATTGAAGTTCATGTCACTCAAACAAAATACCATTTTCAAGAACTTGTGTCAAAAAAATTGTTTTTTGTTTTGCCAACAAAACTCACCAGCATCACTCCAGTACATATCTCACAACTAAAAACTTGTAACAGCACTCCATACTATTGATAGATGTTTCACTCCTACTGGAACTCTGCAACAACACTACTATGGCTCCAAATGCAACAATTGCAGAAATCCAACAGGAGTTTTGTTTGTGCTTAGAACTGGTCATTATCCCCTACCAATATCAGAACTTTGAAAATGATGTCAAGCATACATTTCTATTCCAAGTTTAGAACATTTATGTACAGAGAAAGGCCCCAATCCTGCAATCTAATCTGTGCAGACAGACACTTCTACCCAAGCCGAGTCCCACTGAAGTTAACAGGACTCACATAGGCACAGCAATTCATCCACTGAGATTAGATTGCAAGAATATGGCCTAAGTGGGAAAGGCTTAAATCCTTTTTCCTCTCCAGAGGCAGTAAAGCAATGCTGTAATCTTCTAGACTGACTCCAATAGTGTTTTCACATTCTCCTAAATGGAGACTTGCCTGTTACCTAGACTGAAGCTGACATTCAAGAAGAAAGGTAAGGACTGGTAGTCAGCACATAAATGTCTTTCACAGAAATGGTTCTGGGCCATTTATAGTGTTATTGTGCACTACGAGATCCAAATGCACCAAGAGATGAACACCCACATCTTGCTTCAATATTTACAGTAACTGCCATCTTCATCCATTTCTGAAGAGTTTCTTCACCAGCAAAATAACCAACTCATGACTTCGATTAGACAAGTGTTATGACATGACTCCAAAGACAGGATTATGACGACAAATACTAGGGCCATATTCTTCATAATCCTTCTTGGTGTGACAAACTTGGAAAAACTCTGGCTAAGAAAAATAAAAAATAAATCAAGAACAACACTGCAGAAACCTGTCAATAAATCTTTACATCAGTAAAGATCATTTTGCATAACTCTTTTCCTGGATTACACTGCTGTAATGGGGAGTTCTCTTTAAGAGCAGAGTAAAATAGGAACTATTTGGCATATCAAATGAAAGATAATGGGTGGAAATATGACGGGGTAAGGATCTAGTGAAATCAGTATAAATTGTGCCTAATTTTATTTTATTTGTTTCTCTTATGATTAATAAAGTAGGATTGGGCCTTGAATCCTGAGAGTTTTTGCAGTTCTTAAGCATTGATTTCTGATATCCAGAAAGCTCTATGTTACAGATGTCAAATACAGGGTAGGTCAAAAATGGATCAAATTCTGGAGTCCTGAAATCAGATAAAAAGTGTACGTTTAATTTTCTTTTCCAAACAAAAACTGGGAAAGGATTACAGGATTTGGCTCACTAAGTTAAGTTTCAACACAGCATGTACCATTTTGAATGGCAAAAGTGAAAGCATTTTAAACTGGATATGTAGATCAAACATGTCCAATGACAGAAAGAATGCACAGGAAGAACAATTCAAAAAGATTTTCATAGACATACTGTTGAAGCAAGCATGGATCCTCCAAACCAAACTGCATAGCGCTGCATATGGTGTGTTATCACTTGAACTTCAACTGGTTTGGGCTAGAAAGTAAAAATGATCACATTCAATTTTTTTTTTCCTGGCAAGAGTCAGTTCTCTGAATGAGAGATATGTACATGTTTATCCAGGGCTGGAAGCTTCACACATACTGCAGAGCACACAATCTATACCTCCCCTTCAGGAAAGCAGATCTTGGTGTCTCCTTGGGACTTGTGAATGAAGTTGCATGTCCTGTGTACACCATTGCAATGGCACTGGCAGGTATTACACTGGACACACTCTTGCCCATTAGAGATTAAGTTCTACTATCACTCTGAACCTGGTTTCCATTGTTTTTGACAGAAAGGAACCTGATGCTGCTTGCTAACCTAGGTCTCCTGTATAGTAATACAGGCAGTCCCCGAGTTACGCGGATCCGACTTATGTCGGATCCGCAGTTACGAACGGGGATTTTCTCGCCCCGGAGGACTGGAGTGGCGGGACTCCTGGTCCCGCCGCCCGCCTCCTCCGGGGCGAGAAAAGCTGCTCCCCGTCTCCCTAGTCTGCTGGGGGAGCCCGCAGACCCGGGGGGCGAGGAGCCAAGGG